ATATATATATATATATGATCTTAAATAAACATGAATGAATTTAAAAAAAAAAAGCTTTAACCTTGAGAATTTTCACAAAGCGTTTCAACATTGAAAATTTTTTGTAGAATACTCTTAGATGTATGAAAAGATGATTTTACTTTTGCCTCCATAAGATTCACTGTTATCTATTCCGCCTTACATGATTATCCTGTGTATCCTCTGTCATTGCCCCTACGATCTTGTTGGACCATAGCAACCACTTTCTCTCCCCTTCGTCATCTCCATTGCATGAGGAAGGAGACAACATGAGGATCGTCGTCGCCTCCACGGACTCTACTAGCTTGCCACTATGCATCTCACTCATAGCCCTCGTGCGAGGAAGGAGGTGACGATGGCTCTCGTGCCCCTTCTTCCTCATTTAAAGGCTATGAGCGATAAATTTGATGGGGCAAAAAGGAGGGGAGGTAGCCACCGAGGTCTAGCGAGAGCAAGACCTTCGTTGTTGGTTGCCTCTCTGTTCAATGAACATCGAGGGACTATTTGAGATAAAGGGGGTAAATGAGCGACTAAACAATTAAGGGTTGAGTGGTAGTCGATAGGGATATAATAGTTATTTAAAAAAAAATACTTTATAAAATTTCTCATGAGGTGCTATTTGAAAAATTATTGAAGCTAAAAGTTTTTTTCTAAAAATTTGTCCAATAAATATTACATACTCAAATCTCAATTTTGAATTGATAGATGCTAGTGGTCACATTAGCAAATTTACTTGCTTAATTTGAGGATTATATTTGTCTTATGCTCAATGGTTAAACACCTATTAGCCATAAATGGGATAAAAAATCTCAAAAATAATAAGTTCAAACACTATTATATAAATACAAATAATAAGGGTTAAAAGGATTAAAAGAAACATTATTAAATGAAAGAAATACTATTTAAGAAACATTCCATTGCATATAAATAGGGTCATCCACCAACATAATTGTAACCACTTGATATTTGAATTCTTTTAACTCTCGGGAATGTTTGGGTGCTCACATTTGATATTATAATAATCAATTATTGGCAACTACTTCATAATTCCACATGGTGTGCCCAACATGACCGATCTTAACTTAAGTGGATAGGGGACTCAATGATAGTGATATAACTTCAAATCAGACGACGAGCATCAATACTAATAAAGAGTAATAATTTGTTTGGATCGAGACTTCAATTACGATAGATCTTTGGTGAATCCGATTCTATCTTAATAATAATATTTATTTTAAGTAAAAAAAATTGAATTGAACTAAGTCAGATTACGTCCTATGAGTTTGAAGCCTATTATCATTCTAGAGGAATCATAAAACTAAAAAATAAATATAAATTAATATATTAATCCTCTCCAAACTCCTAAGTTGATAATGGATAAGAATTGGCTCACAATTTTAAATTGAGACTACGATTAAGGCAAGTCATTAGTGAATCCGATGGTAATAGTTTTTATTTCAACTTGGAGAGGTATATCGAATTCGAGTTCAAAGCATATTATCATTTTAGAGGAACCTTAAAACTAAAAAAAATATTGAGGAGACTAAGAAGAGTAACATAGAATAAATATTTTTTAGAAAAAGCTCTTGTCAACACTAGCAATGTTTATTTATATTGTTATAAAATAATTGCAACATAAATCATTAAATGCAATTGAAACAAAAAAGAATATACAAGAGGTAGTTGAACATTGTTGCCTACTGATTGATATATCGAGATTTCGTGTACCCAATACTCTTGGAATGCAAGTCTTCGAAGCATACACAGTTCTCAGTGCTGTGTTTGATCCTTTCTTCTTCACTTGGGAGATGACCCATTCCACAGTGTTCAAATAGGAGACACATCACTCTCACTTGTTAGGAGAACTGCTGTGGTTGCAAGTGATTTTTATCTGCTTACTTTGGGGGAGGGGAGGGGGGAAACACAGATGTCATCCTCCATTAGGGAAAAAGAAGCCTGTAAAAGATGAATGTTGAAGATTCTGATGCTGTTTCATGTGGATGCTTGTGACATGCGCACAATAGTTCCAATAGAAGGAACAGTGTTTGTGCACTTTGTTTGCTTTATGCATCCATCAGTGTGCATGTTTTTGAAGTTTGGAAGGTTGCAGTAATGAGAATGTGGCATTCAGAAGAGATGAGCAGATATGAGAGTATCTAAATGTCTATATGTGGAGCAAAAGAGAAGTTTGGTCCACAGCTTTCCAAGCTTCCAAACCATTTGTTGTTCATCGATAAGGCCCTTTGTACATTCTACAAAGAGGAAAAAAAGAGCATCAATGAATGAAGCAACTCAACAAACAAAAAGGCAATCTAGATTGGATGTATAGCATCCAAGGAGAGCAAAACCAACTTTAAAACAGTTCCAGTTGCCATGGACAGTATCAGAATAATTTTCTCCTTTTGGTTCTATCAATACATATTTTGGCTTTTTCATAACTATCATGCTGATGGTTTATGTATTATTTATCTATTAGACAGTGTTAAAATGAATAATAATGATCTAAGTATTGTACAGTTAAGAAACAATATGTACAAAGAGTTTTGTGAATGATGAGATGGATGTAAAGAATTATTAGGAAAGATAAAAAAAATATGTGCTAACAGGTGTAGTTTCGATACGGATATAAATATGTGCTAAAAAGACTTACAAATAGCATAGTTTAGATTTAGATTTTTTATTTAATAAAATTATTTTTATCGATCAATAATGATGAAAGAGTCATACTCGACCCTAAATTAGCTAAGATCTTATGGTTCTATTATTGTTATCGTTGTCGTCATAACTATTTTTAAACATATTAAAATCTTTTTTTCATGCACTATGCAGACTAAAACTTCAACATAGCTAAGCATTTTTCTATTTGTTTTACTGAGTGAGAAGGCAAGTTAATTGGGTTTGAATGACAAAGTAGGATTCAGCAGCAGGTTGTGAGAGTGGCTTATCCACACACCAGAGGAGTTGAGGTTTGAAAGGACAAGCCTCCCCTCCCCACCAAAGAAAAAACAAATGAAGCAAAAGGCACATTGAGTTGATTGCATTGGGTCCACACTAACATGCTCTTTCTTGGTGCTTTGGATAAGGAGCAAAGCTTCAAGTGGATCAGAGCCAATGTTCCATATCTCCTGCTGATGTGGAAATCCTGATGCAGACTTCCCACCCCACACTCAACTGTAAGCATTGAATTGAGACACCAACTTAAGGCCCTGTCTGGAATCATCAATGCACCTGTGAACCAGATCTGAAACATTGTAGTCTGTGGATTTAGTTGTAATCCTCACAGTGATGCCTTGTCTTCACTTTTGCATGAGGCACTGAGAGCAACCCATCAACTGATGAGCACTGGGATTGTTCTTCCACTCTCCTCACAGTGCTCCTTGGTGGATGCAAGAAGGAACACAGAGCATGGAGAAAACAGTTGGGGCCAGACCTCTGATGCCCATAGATTAGAGAGATACCATAGATGAAAGAAGGTTTGGATGGTGACATGAGCCCACTTGACCTCAGTTAGATAGCAAATTGTTTGCAGCTGTAAAGCACTTTGACAAATGTGTGTTCCCCACACAGCTGATGGGGAGCCCAGTGGTATCTCATCACATGTGTTCTTCATCATCAGGATGACCAAGTGATGGTTGATGAGATGGATGGAGAATGTGGAGGCCAACTGTCTTGAGGGTCACAAGCAATGTGTTAATTAATACATGCAAATCCTTCATTTGGACCACATAATTCTTGAAATTTGTCTGGATCAAGTTCTGTGGCTCCAATATAACTGCACCTTTCTTTGCAGATTGTGCAGTTCAGAACTTGTCTTCTTCATTGAAGAAAAAGGAGAAAATAAGCAGACTATTCTTCCTAAATTTATTAAGCAGCATCACAGAATAGTGTCAGATACCTCTCATGCTTTTTTTGCTCTTCTAGACATGCTCTTACCAGAGCACATAGATTTAGGCTTGTTAATGCAACTTGGCACAACAAAGATTGCTTGAGCTAGCAGACATCCATATCTGGGTTCAGTGCCTCTGTCTTCTTTTCTTTCTTTGTATGATTTCAGGTATGGCAGACATGATGGCAGAACAAGTTGATGCATGCTAAGTTTTGTTATTTTCTTTCCAGGAATGTCTGCTTTCAGAGAACTGCAGAACAACTGAAGAAATTAGTGCTGGAGAAAGTACAAGATAGATAGGGCTGGATGTAGCTGGGTGGCCTACAGAATAAGAATAATTGCAACTTGCAAGCAAGATTGGAGCTTCAGCAGTTGACTTATTCCTTGAGAAGTACTGACACCCAAACCTGAAATAATCTGCAGAACTTAAGCAAGAAGAAATTGTGATATTGCAGCTGCTTATGATATCATTCTGAGACTTTTTTTGTGGATTTCCAGAAATGTTACCAAGAATCATCCAATTGAATAAATGGTAGAATCAAAATACAATTGTTGAATCTTGATTTCCAACCTCCCTTCCTAATTATCATACATCACAAATGTGGTGCTCTATTTGGACCACATTATGGGACTCTAACTAGATCATACAACTGATATAACTGACAAGAAGTCCCCAAAGAATTATGTTCCCTCAATAAATTAGAGAGTAGAACAAAAATGTGCTTGGATCTGAAGACCGTTGTTAGTTGAAAGCTTTGCGGGCTGCGATTATCCAGCGCCGCGATATATACATACAGATTCATCTTGTTCACTCCACACCAACCAATTGTTCAAAGCTCAATTTTCATTTGAGCAGCTGGGGAGGTGCCTGCATCCGACCGATGAAAAATCAGTAACATCTAATGGATTTATGAAGTTAGCAAGCGGCACAGTTTCCTTGTAAATGTTCATACCACCATGGAAGTTGTGAGAGGAAGCAACAATCTCCTGATCTTGTCCTATGCCCATCTGAACAATATTTTGGAGGTCATCCTCCCAGAAAAACCCTAGCTGAATGTTCAGTATTCATTTTTATCAGTCTCAACAACAAAAAAAAAAAAAAATCTCCATAGTAGCTTTATAATCGCAGATTTGACAATGATTTATACCTGAGATGAAGAATCTCCAAATCCACCAAGGCATGCCTGATGTGCATTGAGATCTTGGTGGCCTGTGGAATCTAACAAGTTCATAGAGCAGTGGAAATCCATCCCGTTGGTCGCAATGCTATGAAGAATGTCCTTCTGTTGTGGTACATCAGCATAAGATGACACCATACTCATTTCAGGTGAATAAGCTGAATTCGGCACAGGTCCACCAATCTGAATCATCTGAAATTTATGACCAGAGTAATTAGTCGATGCAAGCATTATAGTCTGAATTTTGGTTGGTTTTAACTGGTCAGGAAATTTCCAAACTCACATCTTTGGCACGGAGATTCGCCAAATTGTCAAAGTCCAGCTGTGGGTTTACGGTGGCCAGCTTCATGGAAAGAAACTACAACAAGAACAGAAAGATGAGATGAGAAAACCATACTTCCATATAGAAATGGTCATGTGTTGTATGATCATTTTACCTCGACTTGTCGCTGCAACGACTGCACATAGTTTATGATCTCATCAAGCATGACCGCTTTGCCAGTTACCTAAAGCAGAAGATTGCAGTTTGAGACTAGATTTCCAAGCAAGCTAAAGTAGATCTTGTCTCTGGTGTTCTATTCATAAGCTGAAACAGGGTGACGAGAGCATCTTTGAGATCAAGTGTTACCTTACTGCAGCCTGGAACGAGATCTTGCAGCAACTTCATTCGTTGGCTAATCTTCTCTCTTCTCACCTGGTGAACAGTTGAAGAATGATCAGAATCATCAACAGAGACGAAAGCCAACATTTGGATCTCGAGAGAGCATTCATCACATACTCTTTCTGCGAGACTGTGGCTATCAGTTGCTTGGCCTCTTCTCGCCCTGACATGGATGTAGTCCTTAGGAGGCTCGGAGGGCTTGTCATTGCCTGCCTTCCTCTGCTTCTGCTCAGCATTTCCATTACTTCTGGCGCCATCGTTTTGCTCCAACTTTGGCTTAACATTGTCAATGCCGATCTCATGAATTTTCCCCGAGGATCGACATCGCTTTGTGTCGGAATCCTCTTCATCTGCCACCTGAAAGCTGCAAAGTTTGAGTCTTTCTTGGTAATACACATCAAGAAGATGAGTTTGGTACCTTGGGAGGATCGGTGGAAGGTTTCGGTGAAGCAGCATCCTTTTCTTTGCTCTTCGAAGGAGCTTTTCGCTTCTTGCCGTTGCTCGCAGATATCGGATCGGACAGCGACATTTCCTCTCTGGAGATTGCCGGACCAGCGCTATTCATCTTCAATTGCAGTCCATTCGATACTGGAATTTGCCTGTTGCTCTCCAAGTGCCCAATTTGGAGCCCGCTCGCCGTAAGAGACTGGATGATTGCCGCAGTCGAAGGCTTGCCGCTCCCAGGGAGCTCGAAATGGCCTGAGAACCAACCGTAACTCTGGCCGTCGAAGCTAGAAAACCTTGCTGCCCTCTCTGCGAAGCCTGGGTCAGCCGGAAACTGATCCAAATGTGCCAGGGCCAGATTTCCTGCAATCACTAACCCTCCCAAGGCTTGGGAATTCCCAGAGGAATCCATGAAATGGGACTGCGGCGGGACCTCCTCGCTCAAGTGGCCAATTCTCTGCAACCCTCTCTCGAGCTCAAATGAAGACTGCGGCGACATGAAGGAGCCAAGCGCCGATCCAAATTGGCTGATGTGATCGACGGAGCGATCCCAATTCTGGTTGAGAAAGCACTTCGGCGATCGATCCGACGACCCAGAGTTCATCTCCGCGAGGTCGGCAATGCAAAAAGATCTCTCCTTTATTGAAGTTGAGCACCAAAAAGTGAAGGAACAGTGAATTCACCGAGGTTTCCAATGCCCAAAGATAAACGAGGAGTTCCGGAAGTAGAATTGGATTATGGCAAGGTTGAAAAATCTCTGCTCGACAGAAAGCTACAATCTTTGGGGGGAGAATAAAGGGCGAAAAGAGGAGAGGTGGAAGGTGGAGGAGAAAGGGAGAAAGGGAAAGCAGAGGCAGAGAAGTGAAAGGAAGGAGGGAGTGATAAAGGTGAGAAAATTGCAGAAAGGAGAGCTTTTTAAAGAGGTGGGGAGTGCAACACACAAGGGGAGGGAGGGAGGGAAGAAGAAGTAAACAACTTGTTGACCTTCTCTGAGAGGTTACATACAATGGAAATAACTGAGAAGGAAAAGTTCATGGAGCTCAAATGGTTGAGAGAGAGAGAGAGAAGGGGGAGATCAGCAATCATTAAAGGAACGAAAAGGAAAGCTAGTGGAGTGTGTACACAAGTTTATTACACTTTTATTGGTCCAAAGATGCACAAATGCTATATTCTTTGTTTAAATCACACTTGTTCTTCGAGGTTTGAGGTGGAGACGAATTTATTGGCTCGCTATAAAAGATTGTTGTCTTGGTTTCATTAACCTCTCTCAATCTAAATGAATAAAGCATATTAACATCATCAGGAATCACAATGGATCCTCAAACACTTGCCTAGTTTTTTACCTCTGTTCTAGTCTTTGTTCATCATGTTCATGAACTTGAGCTGCAGAGGACCGACCTTTAATTGGGTGCCACCCTTTTGCCTTCGGCTGGTGAAATGCATCAAAAGTAGAATGGAGACAAATTAGGTTTCTTGGAGTGTAGAGAGAGGAAGCTTTTCCAGTTTTCTGAAATGGAAGTGTTTGAACCTAATAAGCAGTTCATCTTCCTCTCATTAAATGACCTCTTGACTGTCACATGCAAGAAGATGATTTGGAAGAGTGGGCTTCCACCAATGTCCCTCTTCCACCCCCCACTCCTCCCTCCCCCTTTCCATCCCTTTTCCTGGTTCCATGCTTCCATCATAGTTTACAGATCACCGCCATCTTCTATCATCGTGAGCTTGTAATCCGCCTGTAGTCAATTGTTTTAGGGAATAAAGGGTGGATGCCAACACACATGAGAGAGAGAGAGAGAGAGAGAGAGAGAGAGAGAGAGAGAGAGTAGGTTAAAAGGTACAAACAGTAGTAACTAGGAAG